TTCAGATATTTTTTTTTTTTTTAATCAAATGCTGTCTTACAGAGTCCAACCACAATCCAGATCCTATCAAAAGGCCACTCAGTAGGTTCACTAGGACATCTCAAAGCTCTGCTGCAGTCACTTTGCACATCCCTCCTTTAAAAGTCAGTTAAATATAATAAACTCACCTTGTATCACATCACCCGCCTCCCCAGGAGCCAAGAGAGACCTTCAGAAAAATCCTGGCATTACGACAGCTGCGGACACCAGAGGACTGAACGCCCCCGGCCTTGCGCTCGCTCTCGGCTTGGACAGCTCTTCACCAGTCACAGAGAACTGCTGCATGTGGTCGGCCAGGCAAGGCCTCTGCCTGGTTTGCCCAGCTTATTTAGGCGCTCAGCTAACGAGCACAACTCCCCAGGACAGGTTCCATGAGCACATGAGAATGGTACTCACACGAGTTGCTACTCTTTACAAGAAATATTAAAGGGAGGAAACAGCATTTGTATCAAAATGCTGTGCTAGGGCAGCCTTCAAAACTTTCAACTCCACGGCTGTTAATGAATTAGCATTTTTCTCTCAGCTGACCGGTTCACACTGCAGTGAAGGTGTCTCCTCCCTCTGATACCCACTGCACGACCCCTTCCCTAGGACATGCGCCAGGCTTATCTGAGAACTCTGCTTTATTGACATTTGTCAAAACAACGCAAATGTAGAAGAAAGTTAATTCCATAAAACCACATTGCTTAAGTGCCATCTTCATATAAAAAAATCCATTGAATTTCATTCATTAAAAAAAAAAAATCAAACAGTTCTTTTTCACATTTATAAAAACAGCACAGCTGGCTTGTACCATAAAGATGCACGTGATGGCCAGGGCTCTGGGCCCAGCTCTGCACCAGGACGGGCTCCTTTGCTGGATACCTGCACACCATGGCCACTAACCACGATGACAGCCTCCCCGCTAAAGGATCTGCAACAAGGTGTACTTGTTCATCATCCTCGAGTTACCAACAGAATGGTTACAGCCCACTCCCGGGAAAGAGGCAGTGATTAGAAATCCCAACGCAGACAGACAGTCCAAGCCATGCCGAGGCCAGACATCAGGTCCACATCCAAGTGTGTTCAGGCAGGATGGCTGCAAAGTCTTAACGAGAACAGTTTTCAGTAAATCGCTGCCTGTTCCCAGAACTCTGTAACAAAGTAGAAGAGCAAATTTTACTCCCAATACTAGCAACAAAAAAGCAGCTCAAAGACTAATAATAAGGAAAAAAAACCCAACTTTCTAATGGTTTGAAACATGCAATGGCAGAAAAATCATGATAAGGGCTTCTCTCCAGCTCCTGAGCTGCTTCTTCTTGGGAAGAGAAAGACACTACAAAGTAAGAATTATTTGAAGTCTCACTCGATTTTCTTAAGCAAAAAGTGAGACGGGTAAGTACCGACATTAAGACACACAGCCTCTCTGAAAGAGCAGCTCTTCAAGTAAGTTTCTACATCAGATTATGTACAGTATGCTCATTTGCCTTTACAGACAGAGATGCTCCTGACAAATCAAGATTTGATTTCCACCTGCAGAGAACAAGGTTGGTGCTGAGTACACAGGGTACAGATTCAAACTGAAAAGAATTTTTGACTGCAAAATAAGAACTAAAACCAAATGCAAGGCTCTTGGGAGAACATCCACTGAACAGCCTCCTGTTTCTTCCACCTCTGCCTGGGCTGTGCATACAAACACCAGACAATCCTTCTAGACGGAGAATTGAGAGGAACAGGCCCTCTACTCACCCTTCCTTTCCTTCTGCTGTACAGGAACACGCTGCTATCCTGCTGCCTGCTTGGAGCCTACTGCAGGAGGGACAAGGCTATCCAGCTGCTCACGGTTGCCTGTCTGAACCAGCCATTCGTAGAATTTGTTTTCTACCAGCATCTGGAACTGTTTCCTCTGATCCCTGAAACCAGAAGACAATCAGCAGGGAAGTGCGTAAGGTCACATTCATTTCTAGTACTATACTTCTAAACGTCGCCTTCACTACCAAAGTGAGCCTTTATATAAATCAGCTACAAGGTGGGCTTGGTTCAGGAACTGCCTGTATGAGGAAGAGGTTTTTACCAAGTGAATATGATTATAATCAACCCCAAAAGCAGAATTCATCATGCAAACTTCCCCATCCCACTGGCACAGCAACTCTGCTCCCCAGGGCTGCCTCTGCTTTACTCTTAGAGCACAGATTAAAAACCACCTGACAAGGGAGAAAAAGAAGATTAGTAACCAGCGTTGAAGCACTGAAGACACAAAATTCTGTTCTGACAGCATCTGAAAGAGAGAGGAGGGAGATCAGGAAAAAAAATAACATGCATATAAACAACACTCCTCAAATAATTCCCATTACTGGTAAATAACTCTGGGGTGGTTTTGGTAAGACCAGCAATGCCAGGGTACACCAGTTCACTCAGGCTCTCTGTCTCTGGCATGGGTCAGCTGTCCAAGAGCAGTGCAGGCTCTCAGCAGGATTTCTCCAGAACTGCATCCCAACCACCTGGGATGAGCTCAGCTCCGCAAATTCCTTTTGGAACCCACGTAAAACATGAACGTTTTTCCATCTCCTGTGGAGATTTTATGTGGTTTTGCTTTGAACTCATTCCTAATTTGATGTGCTGATCCCATCCTGTACTGGGAAAAGCAGCAAACCAGCCCTATTCATTTTTATGCCACTCAGTGAGGCTCAGCGTACCCAGACCCTTTTTTCAAGTTAAAGGCTCTTCTTCGTACTATCGCTTCCATTTGAGACATTCCCCAGAAAGGAGGGTTCTAGGACAGAAACTAACCTAAATTCCTCCCCAGTGAACGTGAACACAAAAGGCAGTCACTTTCTTTCTCCTCTTAGGGTTTTATCTTCTCCAAGTGCTTTTTATATACCTTGATCTGCTACTGACCCTGAAAGACTTTCTGTCTGGTATGCTCGGAAAATGAATAAACAGGATTTTATGCTTTTGCAAGTTGTTCCTCAAGCTGTCTTATTGGTCCTGTCTTACGGGGTTTTTACTTCCAGCCTGGCAGGATTTACATTCTTCTTTTGCCCCACTTTCCTCATTCAGACAACTTCAACTTCTTGAAAGATGTCTTCTTATTTCTAACATTTGCTTTCACCTCCCCATTCAAGCATGGCAGCTTTTTTCTTTCTACAAGCCTGATAGCCTGTTTGCTCTAAGCTTCCTAGTTGTCTCCCTAGTTGTTTCCCTGCCTGCAGGAGACAGAGACATTTTATACTGTCAGCTGCCCAGTTTCTTTTCAGCAACCTTCTAAACTTGGCACAGTTTTCCCCCTTTTTTGAAATAAGCCATGCCAGTTCCGAGCTCTTGCCTCCTCTGACTGCTGCAGAGGATGGTAAATCTAAGCGCATCATCCGCATTACCTCACGTTTCTTTAACGGTAAGATTTTGACTGGCCAAACACCTTCACAAAACCCTGGTGTGAGAAGCAGCAGCCTGGGAGGAAGGGTGAAGAAGCACCTTGGATGATGCTGACAGACACAAGGGATGAAGTTATAACTATTTTCCTCTCTGCTGCCCTTCAAGACTCAAGGACTGAGAGTTTTGAAGGTTTTCACATCTCTGGCACCACCACCACTGCTCAGCCACCCTCCACCTTGTAGCAAAATCCTGCCCCAGAATCCCTTCTGCCTCCCAGCCTAGAGCTCTTCCAACCTGCAGGCTCCTCCAGGTTCAGCACAGAGGCACCTGGATTTCAGAAAGGAACAAGGGAAGTGGAGTGAGCTCCTCCAAAACAATGAACACTCAAGTGGACTAAAACCCCTCAGCTTGGTACAATGGGAAGCATGGACAGTTTGACCCAAGAGGAGGTTTTCATATTCTGTGTTCCCCACCGGATAAACCCCTCCGAGATCACTGCTTATCAGCACCCAGTTACACGCCCATTAAAAGTCACTGACTGAGCACAGAACAGAAAGAAAATCTATACAGCTCAAGTGCAGCTTAGGGAACAAAAGTTGTTCTCATCCCTTCAAAGCCTTTACAATTGAATATCCGGGTTTCTATCCCCATTCTGTGTTTGCAAAAGAAGACAGGTCCTTCAGGCTGCTGCGTCAAAACAGTTCACAAAAAGAGAAAAGCAGCTAAACTGAAGTCGGCAGAGATTTATACCCTTGCCTGATTTGGCTGGCTGCCCACGAAAGCACCTTGACAAAGGAAGCAAGGTGAACTTTTTTCAGAACTCTGCAACAAGAGCTGAGAAAGCAAACGAGACGTACATGAGATGGGCTAGGACAGGCCTAGCTAGCACAGTAAAAACTGGGCAGAGGACTCAGTGTGATCTGCTAAATAGGACTTCAAACGCTACCGTCCACGAGGCAATCTACTGCAATGGTCCACGTGCACGTTCTTAGCTCACCTCAGCAACAGATGGGACAGTATTTGAAGCTCCTATCTCAATGTAAAGGTTAGGCTAAGAGTAACCACCACTCAGCTGCAGGCCCATAATTAGCTGTTGTTCAGGGTACAGGCCCAGATCTCGCCCGCAGCGGCACGCGGCGGGTGGAAACGGAACAAGAACAGCAGAGAGACAGTACCAAGCATGAGGCGAGTTGTAAACTCTCGCTGCCAGGGTGGATCCCTCACCTCAGCCCTCAGCAGTATCCAGGCACGCTTGTCCTTCAGTCTCACAAGCTAGGAAAACACGATCATGACAAAGCACGTCCTTCAGAGTTACAACTGTGAGCATTATTCTTCTCACTACATTAATAAGCAACGACCAGGATCCCAAGGTTGCTAATCACCAATGCTCTAGAAATAGCATGCAAGACACTGCTCACACAAATCAACACACTATTAAAGCATTTTTGTCGAACCACATCAAACGAATCTTCTGTTTGCATGTCTGAGCTGAGCTTCAATGCAGCTCACACCTTCCCGCTGGGATGCGGCACTCACTTGGTCAGGCCTGCCTCCTTCACGGTTTTCTGCCAGATCTGTACCTTCTGCTCTCGCTGACTCAGTGCCTTCTGATAGGCATGGGGAAGCCCACCGGGCGTCTCTGTGGTGTCTCCTTCCATCTCAAAAGGAATCACAAAGGTGTAGAAGTCCGAGGGCGGCAGGAGGCGGAAAAAGCTCATGTCGCCGCTCTCCTTACACACCAGCATGGGGCTGTCCCAGTAGTTTGGCAGAGTGGCCAAGCCCACCTGAGCCATGTGGTCTTCAAGCATTGGATAATGGGTGTGGAAAGGGGCAAAGCTGACTGCTTGGTTCCCTGAGAGGATGAGAGGCTGGGTAGGTGTGAGAATGTAAAAAGTACAGCCAGAGGTGGAAGACAGGCACAAACGATGGCAAACCACAATGACCTTGACATTGTCACAGCTATGGACGTGAACAGACGCCTGCACGGGGCCAAGGACAAAAGTGCTGTTCCGGCACTTCTCAATGGTCACAGATCTGTGAAAGAACAAGAGAGCGAGAACATAGTGAGCGGGAAAGAGCAAAACCAGGTCTTTTTCACCACTAAAGTCCATGTAACGAGAACTTAACGCTTGATCAAACTTGCTGAAAAGACATCTAACTGCGTCCCAGGAGAACTAAAGCTCACCGGAGAGGCGAGAGGAGATAAATGAAGGACTCGTTGCAGCGATGAATTCTTATGTGAGCCCCCACCAGGGTGTCCGAGCTCTTGGCCAGCGTCTGCTTGTACACCTGACTCATTATCACCATGGGGAACACCTCAGGCACCACACGAGTATTGCAGGCAATCTTTGCTCTCCTGGTTGTTCCTTCAACTGCAAATAAAGTTCATCAACGCATTTAAAATTTTAATGAAGCACAAAAATGCTATACGTGATTCCTACAGACACAGCCATGATGGTCCACTGTCCACATCACTCAGCAATCCCTCAAGAAAATAATCAGCCCAAAACTTCAGGGGTGGGTACCATCAAACTGCATCACTTCATGCACCAGTCACACCACCCACTGATGCCTACTGGGCAGGTGAGCAGCGGTCAGAAGCTCCAGAATTCAGGGCACGTTGAATGATCAAAACCATTTCAAGGTTGTTGAGGGGCATCCAAAGCCTCCCACAAGCTACAGACAGCTCTGACCCTGATCTCCATTTCCCAAAGTCTTCTCCTGAACACAAGACTCAGCCTGGCAAGAAGATCCACAGGGCAAGTTTTACGCTGAAAGCAGGAACTGTATGTTTTAAGACAGTGAAATGCTCCCTCTACAGTACAACCCTCGAGCAACCTCACTGTCCCACTTAACGCACTGCCCCTCCTACAATTGGAACCAAAACATTCATCTGGATTTTTTTTTTTTTCCTCCTAAGGTGGAAGATGCCTTTGGCTCCACCGCCATGTCCCAGCAGGTGACAGGCTGCAAGTCAAGGCAAGGAAACCAAGATCAGGAATCAGCTTTGCCACGAACACATCACGTTATCTATTCTGTGTCTGTACTTGAATAACAAGGATAGCAATACCAACCTCACTCAGAGGGGCCTTTGAAAATGACATCATTAATGTTTGCTCACAAAAGCGATCTAAGGACCGGAAAAGTACACACAGATGTCACACAACACCCTCTAGTCCCCCAGACTGCCCTCTAAGCTGTCACTTTCCCCGTCTCCACTGACAGGAGAAGAAAAAGAGGCAAGCCCCCACGCCACTGCCAGATCCCTGGTCAGTGAGAGAAACCGAGACTGGAAAGTTATTTCTAAAAATAAAGGCAAGGCCGGTAGCTACCTTGCTGAGCCCATGCGAGTTTCTTCCCGGACTTGAGGCAGGCAGTCATTCCAAAAGGGTTTGTTGTCAGGCAGGACCGCAGCCAGCTCTCTAGCTTGGGGAAAGAGAAGGCTTTGGAGACCTTTGAGTAGCCATTCCGCGCATGGCAGGGCTGCCAGAGGGCAAGCTCATGCAAAGGATGGACCATCCTGGATTTGCTCACGGTCCCTTCAACAAGAAAGCTAAGGGCATGGACAGCTTCGTAGGACACCAAGCTACTGTGGGTGGAATGGGAGGAGGCAGTGAGCTGCTCCGGCTCCAGCAGTAGCTCCAGCATATCCGAGAGGTGGCTCTGGACAAAGGCACGGTGGTCCTGATCGTTCCAGTTCTGAGCGGGCAGAAAAACACAGAAGAACGAGGTGAGTTCTCACAGAGCCCACAAGCTCCACTGACAGTGTACAATGCATCCTTGCTTACACTTGTTCTAAAAGAGGGAAAGCCAGTCAAACATAGCACTCTCTCCCGCTCACTGCTTCTGTGGCTCTGCTCTTCCAAAACACAGAAAGGAAACGGGACTCATCAGCAACCTCCCCCCCAAAAAAGGAAAAAAAAACACATTTAATTCTAACTCCAAGTGCCAAATATTTCATTCTAGAAAGCAGAAACAGACTCTCCTACAACCCTTCCCACACAAATTCAGACAGCTGCTGCTGGCAATTGGAGGTAGGAAACAAATCAATAACTGACAGTCAAGGTCTTGCAACTGCTCTATGAGAAAAATCTTTGCATGTGTTCCAGACCTTCAGCTATGATTAAGTGCCACCTTCAGAGGTGCTGCAGGGAAAAAGCAGAGGGTCATTCCTTCATAGCGAGTGGACCAATAAACCAAACGACCTCTGAAAGACTCGTTAGTTCAAATTCTAAAGGGCTGCATACAAAAAAAAAAAAAAAAGGAGAAGATGGGAATTAAGCAGGCATTAATAAAGACAACCATGGCCTGCCTGTGATCTGCAGAACAAGCCACACACGGCTGTGATTACACATGGGCCTCACCACCCGCACGGGCTGTAGCCAAAAGGGGGTAACAAGCAGCTGCGAGCATCTCATCGAGCAGCTGGAGATCCCTGCCCTGTGACAGGGACCCTATCACACCGGACAAGCCTTGCTACACCATTTCAAAAGGGGGAACAGTTCACCTCAAGCATTGCTGAAGCTGGGGGAATCTCTCCTGATTGCACCAGTGGACACAGCCCCAGTCCCATTGGGACCAAAACCTCTGGGAGGGGTATGGTGGCAGCCAAGATGCTTCTCCTTCCTGCCCAGAGTTTCACGTAATGGCTACAGTTCAAAAAAAACCTCAGCTTTTAAATAACACTGGATGCTCCACAGCCACCCACCTCACAGCCCCGTACCAGTTCATCTCATTTCTTTTTTTCTTTGTTCCACCTTTTGGTATAAAGCTACCCAGTCCCTATTTTTAATTATTTCAGCTTGTTCCAAGCTACATTTCACTAGCTCGTATGGCTCACAGCATCACAGAAATACACTGAGGTTTGCAGCTGGCCCTCAGGACAATGTTGCCAACCTATAATTCACTCTTGAATACAGAGCTGCCCACAAGCTGCCCCTGATAAACCCAACACGCTTCTCTTCTTGAGTGTTTTAAAGGGAACGTTAGGATTTCCACAGGGTTGAGCTACAGGTGACCAAGCAACTCCCTTCTCTGCAATACAACTCAGCACTAGGGGCCATCCTGGGATCCCAATACTCTGCAGCGGATCATGGGAAAGCAGCCTCCAACGTAAGAAAAGCTTCCCATTTCACAGGATCGTTTGGTTGGAAAAGCCCTTTAAGATCATTGAACCTGACCATACCTGTCTGCTACTAAACCAGGTCTCCAAGCACCTCGTCTATTGGACTAATTAACAGAAAAAGCAAAGAGTTGGTTGCTTCTTGAAAGGAGAACTGCCAAGATGCCGAGAAAACTTTCCTGGTCTGTCTCTAGACTCTAGGATAAATTCCTGCAGACAGCTTTTGCTGGTAAGCCACAGAGGACACACCAACTTCAATTCATTTGCAGTTGAGCAAAGCGTCTCGAATTTGACTCTAACTCCGACTTTACCGCAGGCAGGGTTACACCCTCCCGGAACAAACCAGCCGCTTTTCAACCCACCTCGAGGCAGGACCTTGCAGTTTCCCACGGGGCCACACAAGGGGAATCCTACAGCCGCACAAATACCTTATTCTCGCTGGCAGATTTTCCAGTCAGGCTGGGAGACTTGGTCCTGAGGCTGGGCCATTCCTCCCCGATCAGAGACGTCCGCAGAGAGACCTTGTTCACCTGTTGGATGTACAGGAACAGGAGGAACTGCAGAGTGTCTACCGACAGCTAGCCGAGAGGGGAGAAAAACAGGCGTTAAGGTGGGCCGGGCTCCCCCCGCGCCCGCCCGGCCCGGGGGGGGGCT